TGTGTGTGTGTGTGTGTGTGTGTGTGTCTGTGTGTGTGTGTGTGTGTGTGTGTGTGTGTGTGTGTGTGTGTGTGTGTGTGTGTGTGTGTGGTGTCGTGCGCGCGGGCAACAGGCCAGGTGCGTGATCGTGGGTTGAAGCTGGCCTGGAAGGATGCCCGGACGGCCATGCGGCCACAGGCATAATGCATGCGCGACTGCACAGGTGGCAGCGACACCCCCCACGCAGGGCGCCCCGTCCTGTGCTCGCGGCGGGCACGAGGAAGGGGCGCCCCCGACAGATGCCAAGGGCTCGGAATCCCTGGCGCATGCAAGGATCTCATCCCTCTGCGATCCGGCCCGTGCCCAATCATCGCGCCAGATCATGCGCCAGATCTCATACCAGATCTCGCGCGCGCGGCCTCACCTCATACATGAGCACGCCGAACGAGAACGCGTCCACCGCCGTCGTGAGCCGCGACCCGGCAAGTAGCGCCTCCGGGGCCTGCAGGCGCACACGCACGTGTCAACGCATGTGTGTTTGTGAACCGCAGGGCGCGCAGCTCCGCATCCGAGCAACGCAGCCCAGCTAAACCCGCGTGATTCATCACGGCGGCGCATCCCCATACGGGGGCGGCGGCCGAAAGCAGGCGCGGCGCGGCGGCGCACCAGGTGGGTGATGGTGCCGGTCCCGCTGCGGTTGACCACGTACTGCTTGCTGCCGCGCATCATCTTGACCAGCCCAAAGTCTGCCAGCTGCGCGCGCGCGCACACGCATGGTTTGACTCGGTCAACAAGACGCCGTTGGCAGTCAACCAACAGCACGAAGGCTTCACGCCCGCGCCATGCCATGCCGCAGGCGGCGCCAGCGCGCATGACGACGCATCACACCCATCAAAGCCCTGGGCCGCGGGCGCCTCGAAAGAAGGAAGCACGGCGCAGCGGCCCGCCGCCCGCGCGCCGCCGCAGCCCCCCTTGAAGCCGAGCACTCGCCCACAACGGGCGCCGGGGCGGAGGGGCTGTTTGTGGGGGGGGGCGGGGCCGCACCTTGCAGACGAAGCCGAGGGGGCGGGTGGCGTCCGTTTTGAGCAGCACGTTCTCTGACTTGACGTCGCAGTGCAGCAGCTTCCGGGTGTGAAGGTGCTCCACGGCCTGCCCCACCTCGCGCAGGACCTGTGTGTGTGTGTGTGTGTGTGTGTGCGTGCGTGCGTGCGTGCGTGCGTGTGTATGTGTGTGTGGGTGTGTGTGTCTTCTCATGCTGCATGTATGCTGGGGCCTGTCCCACGCTGGGCTCCAATCAACAAACGCGGCCACGACAAACGCAGCACGTCCAGCACAGGGCCGCGCCCCGTCAGCACGATGGCAACCCCCCCCCTCCCCGAAAAGCATGCACCGCATGCGTGCGCGCCAGCTCGCGCAAGCGCCGACGGAGGGACTGCCAGGGGACGACAGGGGCCGCTGCCCCTCGCATGCACCCCTGCCGCGGGCAACACCCGCGCGCGCCCTGCGGCAACATTGATCCGCCCCGCCCTACCTTGATGCACCCCGTGAGGTCTACCGCCATGGCTGTGGGCGACACGCGGCGGTGGAACACCCCGCGCTTAATGGCGTCACGCAGCGTGCCCACGTCCATGTACTGCGGGAGGGGGGGGGGTGAGAGGGGGGGTTTGCAGAGGCTGTTGCAGCTGCGGAGTACGTTGTGCACACACGCAAGCACTCAGGCACGTGCAGCACACATGCGCGCACATGCATGCACACACAAACACACACACGCACACACACACACACACACACGCACGCACACACACACACACACTTGCAAAATCACACACGTGTAGACACACACACACGTACACACACACGCACAAGAACCACACATGCGTGCGAGCTCACCTCCATCACGATGAGGCTGCATGAGGCCACCCGGCCCTGCTCATAGGGCAGGGCCCGCCGGTAGCGCGGCAGACTGCCCCCCACCACCCCCTTCACGGGCTCTGGGGACACGATGTAATGGTTTTTTGGGGGGTGGATGGTTGTCAGTTGGCAGCTGTTGAGTTTCGGTTATTTCTCAGCTGTAGGGGGGGGCGTGGGGAGGATTGCCCTCGCGTTGCATGCAGAAAAGGCGTCCCCGCAGCGCGCGCACACACACGCAGACGCACACACACACATACATCACACGCACACACACGCTCGCATCTGCTGCCCCGCACCCCTCCCACCCCCCCCTCACCCTCGACCATGTTTGTGAGGCAGGCGTAGACCTGTATGATGTGGGGGTGCTGGGTGCAGCTCAGCACAGCCATCTCCACCGCATCCTTCATCGCTTCGCGCTCGTGCTGGCGCGCATACATCACCTGGGGGGGGAGGGGGCGGCGGCGGCGGTTGTGGGTGTGTTGGGAGTTTTAGTGGGTGGGTGTGAGA